CTGTTGAGGATACAAGAGAATACTATAAAAAATACGAGAGAATGCTGTCGATGTTACAAAAGAATGCTGCCCAAAAAACAGAGAACAGCATGAGAAATACAAGGAAATGTTGTCAAAGATACAAGTGAATGTTATCAAAAGAAATAGAATAATGGCAGACATACGAGATTTTTTTTTATTATCATATTTTATTTAAAAACTTACACTATACAAAAATGTACACAAGCTTAAAAAAGTTGTTCAACAAATGGACCAAAGTTAAAACTTTCACAATTTACAACATCAACATAACTTACACCACACCAATCCAAAGAACGCTAAACCCCTACACTCTGTTAACACACACTCAAAACCTACAAAGTGCAGGATTAGAAACCCTCGCCGCCACACAACTGTGGCACAACCCTCTTCCCCTTAACTTAGTTTATAACTAAAACACTTTCCCCCAATATACAGATACATGATATGAAAACACTACTAATAAACAAATTTATGCAGTATCATGTTATTATAAGACAGTTTGTACCTAACCATGTTAGTATCTGCATACTAACTGACAAATGCCTTAACATCGTCTATATACACTTTCACAATTGCATTACCTCACCTTAGTCACAACTACCCACAAAGGAGTTGTTTTGTTAGTATCCAAAAGGTTTACACTTGCCTATCCACCTTCACCACAAATTATAACACCACTCTCTCAAACAATGTTTGTCTATATTCTTTCTTTCAGTAAAGTTCCTTCAATTATTACAATACTTTTTAACAGTTTTGGTGCCACATCACCATACTTTTTTATTTATTTAATCCGGCATATTACAAAATATAAAAATTAAAAATAGAAAAACATCTGACCTAACAAACAGGTATCCTAACAATAAAATATAAAACACAGTATATCATATTCCATGATCAACATTCTGACTGTGGCAATATACACTTCAAGTGACCTAGGTCGTACAACCTCCAAAACTGAAAATGGAGATAAGAGCTCTGTGGCCCAAAAGGTCCTCCTACCACTAACAAAAGATTCTAAAGACCTGCAGTAATAACTCATAAAACCCCTATTCGCCCCACCATGATAACTACTACATAAGCGGATATCCGGACCTGTATCATACCTATTTAAATACATAATTTACAATACAAAATGGCAAATACAAAATGACATAATTTACAATACAAAATGACAAAAGAACATACCAACTATCAATGTTCAGAGGCTATAATTACCATGCAAACATGGATGCCAAAACCTAAGTTAACATTTCTCTTAGACAATAACCCATACAGTAAGATATATAATACACAGTTTCCTATAAACCATCAAACACAACCCCCGTATATCACATGTATTTAGCAAGTACAAGTTTCCCTTTAAACACCTACCCTGACCATCCCCTAAAACTCTACCACCCAAAGGTGCCCAACTTTAATCATGCCATTTACAGCTTACATTACACAGGACAAAACCATAACGGTATGAACACCCGATTTAACAATACTGACCTAGATATGTAACGACGTGTCACATGACACTGGAAATTATAATTATGTGAGACACAATATGTGAAAAAAATTCTTAAAACCAACACTTTTTTCATAATATATACTCTGAAGTACACAAAATTAAATAGTGGGTACACCCTACATGAACTCAATGTAGTTGGTATAATCATACGTTCCAAAACACTATCCCATCTTTAGACCTGATACTTCACTCGAGCTCTCCTTTAAGAACATTTTTTTTTTTTAAGTACAAAACGTGAAGTGATACAAAAACGAGCTTTACAAAACCTGTCACACACAACATACATGACAAACACAACCACACTTTACAGGCCCTTCCAATCCACACAAACTCTCTCGAAAACCTTACATCAAGTGCTCCCCCCCCCTCCAAAAAACTAAGTGACCCCTCTTAAAGAGAAAACAGTCCCTTACATATAATTAGCTTGCCAAAAAAATGAGTCCATTGACTGTAATGTTGCGGTATGACTCCGGAAAAAGTGTTTTCCACTGTTCACCATAAATGAGTTTATTCCTGCAGACCGTTTGATATGTACCTGCCGCAATTGCCCTAATTCTAATCCCCCCCCCCCCGTGTCCCTCATTCCCCAAGAAAAATACAGGAAATCCGCCACTATGTACATAATAGCCCGTCTCACATCCTCAGAGACTCCTTGAATCTCAAAAGTTAGGGCTCGCAGAATCTCTACTGCACCCCCACCCAACAATCTGAAAACTCCTTTCCACACCACCACCTTCGTGCATCCTTCATCACCATTCCAACTCTTACCCCTCTCACCTCCCCTCCCTCACAAACCTCTGTTTTACATACAGTGCCTTCATTCTCGACTCCAGCGCCAAAAGTCCCACTCCTCTACGTATGTTTGACATTACCACCTTTTTACTGAGCCATGCCCTCCCAAAACCCCAAACATAATGTAACACCCGCCTCTGTATCTCATGCACCTCCTGCACCCTTAAAGGATACACTACAGCAACACTCCACACTTTACTATAGACCAATGTATTTATGACAATTGCCCTTTGTAGTAAGGTAACATCCACTGCCCTTAGGCTCCGTATCCTGTTCATTACCTTTTCTCCCACTAACTCCGAGTTCACTCGTCGAGCCTCCTGCTCATCAGCCATATATATAATTCCACAAATTTTCAGCCATTCCGCCACTTCCCACCCAAACTCCAACCCCAATCCACCCCCCACCCAAGAACCTATTTCTAGTAAGCACAATTTTGCTCTGTTTACATGCATTCCTGATGCCCTCCCGAACATTTCCAACACCCTTCCTATGGTTTTCAATCCTTCCACACCAGTGATCAGTACAGTTGCATCATCTACAAATCCTACCACCTCATTGAATTCACCCCATTTAAACTCTCCCCCCCCCCCTCAACTATTTCATAAAATGGGTGCTGTATGCACGCCAACAAAATTTGAGACAAAGGACACCCTTGTCTCAGACCTCTCTCCATTTCCACAATCCTACCCAACCTACCATTTATTTGCTCCTTTACCACTGCCTCAGAATACAGGATATCAACCCACTTTACTACTCCGTCACTGAAACCCAGATGTCGCAAACTGGCCCCCAGAAAATCCCTATTCACAATCATATGCATTCTCCCAATCAATACGTAAAATACCACCTCCATTACAACCCTCTAAAAATTCCCTAATGCGACCATGCCCATCTCTCATGCTTCGTCCCAGAATCCCCATCTGTCCCTTATGTAGTACCCCTTCTACCACTTTCTTCTTCCTATTTCCCAGTATCTTCGCAAAAATCTTATAGTCTGTACACATTAACGATATAACCCTGTACGCACTCAGTGTCCTTCCCTCCTGCTTTTTCCTTACCAACACGACCACACCTGTCCTCTGTGTCATTCCTAACTGTCCTTCCCTTAGCATACAATTCATTACTTTCATTAGACAGTCCTTAATATGATTCCATTGACCCCAATAGAAATCATTCAAAATCCCATCTATTCCAGGCACCTTTCCAGTACTTAAGTTGAACACTGCTTCTTCCACTTCATCCATACGAATCACTCCATCCATCCCAGCCATCTCCTCCCCACACGTCCCTAAAACATGCCCCCCCCCACACTTCCTGAAAATCATTCCCTACTTCCCCTTTCTTCCACTTTTTTTGGAACCAATAATCAGCATAATTACTCATTCCCTCTGTGGTATTTAGCCTTTGCCCCTTATAATATCCTCCCAAATCCTCACTAACCTCTAAGTTTAAAATAGTTGGCTCTTTTTGCCTAGTCCTAAAACTTTGCAAAACACTACCCGAAGGCTTATCCCCCCACAGCACTGCCTCCATTCCCGCCCTTACCCTTATCTCATCAAATCTTTCATGATGTATCTCTGCCAACCTATCTCTGAGCTGCACTATGTTTCCATACTGCCTCCCCTTCCCCTCCTCATAACACTAATTGAGCTAATACTCTAAATAAATTTGTAATCCATACCTCCACCTTGCCTCCTCCCATCCCTTCCATTTATAAAAACCCGCTATACCTGGTTTGGCTCTACCTTCCCACCATTCCAAGAGACTTGACTCCCCATCGCTAGTACCCCACAAATTTCACCACCATTCTCCAAACTCCACACTCACCTACTCATTCTTCACAAGTCTCGCATTCAACTTTCAAAAATCTGATTGTATTCTAATCATGCCCTCCCAATCCAGATGTGCTATAACCGCCCTATGGTCAGAAAACCCCACGTCCAAAGTTCTCACTCCCATCACACCAATCGCGTCCGATGTATAGATCCTATCTAATTGTGCGGAATAACCCCTCCTAACAAACGTAAACTCTATTTGCCATTCACCCCTCCCCCCAACATCCCTAACCCCCACATCCTGCAAAACATTGTGTAGCGTGCCTAACACACACCCCGCTCCCCTTGGCTCCACATCCTCCCCCTTATGACACAATTCCAGTCTCCCTCAATGACAGTGACTAAAGGTAAACCCCTGAAGTGATACATCAAGACTTCTCGTACGAAATTCTCTTTAACTCTAACAGTGCCCTCCACCGGCATATAAACCCCTATAAAACATGGTCTAGTCTCTCCCCACTCTCCGTCCACCCTCACTACCCTCCCCCATCCCTCTTCCCACCGCAAAATACATAAGGGACTGTTTTTCTTCACAGCCACTGCCACACCGCCTTTCAATCTCACAGACCCACTTACATACAACTGATATCCTTTCGGCAACAGCTTACAACCAACCTTATAATTATGCTCTTGTATAAAACAAATATCTATGTCATACCTCCTTAAGAATCATTCCACCAACACTCATTTTACTTCAGCCCTTAAACCATTTACATTAATCGTCACAACCTTGAAATTACTGTAATAGTGGCGGCTTTCCCCTCCGCCTTGGTAGGTGTCCCATAATACCTGACTGTTGGATAGTTCCTCATTTGGCACCTTGCCTGACCAAACCC